CGCCGCCCTCCGCGCCGCACCGCGCCGCTCGCCCCGAGCCCCGCTTCCGCCACCGGCGCCGGCGCCGGCCAATCAGCGGCTGCCAGCGCCGCCCACGCGCCCTGCGCCCGGCGCCGGGAAAGCTACGAACGAGGCGCCCATTGGCCCGAGGCGCCCGCCGAGGCGGCCAATGGGAGCTGGCGGCGTGGCAGCATGCGTGCTCGGGCGCCCCTCCCCCCGGGAAAGGCGAGGGGCCGAAGGGACTGGGCGAGGGCGAAGGGACTGGGCGAGGGGGCGTGGCGGCGAGGGGCGGGGCCAGGCCGGCTCGGTGAGCGGCGCGGTTGGCGGAGGGGAGGCGAGTTCGCGCAGGGGCAGCCCATTGATATTTAAAAATTAATAAATAATCAGGCCTTGATTGATTATTACATATGCTGGTGTGATCATGCAAATGATGCAACCCAGGTTATGTCTGCCGCTTTTATTTCGTTTGTACATTTCTGTTCCTTGGAAAGAATATACGGTATTTTATTGCATTGTGTTTCTGAACTTTTGTAATCTGCCCAGAGAGAGAGCTTCGGTGATTGAGCTTTATAGCAATGAAAGAAGTCAAAACGTAGAATATTTATTTCTATGAAGCATATGCCCAACTGGCAAATATTCTCAGATGGATTATAGTCAAACAATCAAAATAAAAGTATTAGTACAGTGTAAGTATCGAATACAAATCAAACCATTAAAATGTTTTTAAAATGCTGAAAACACTGGGATGTGGTGGGATCAGAAAGACTTTGTTTTTTTGTATAAACATACATAAACTTGCACCCAAAGCACCAAATTCAAGATTAGCATGCTTGCTGAAAGGGGAAGCATCTAGTTTGTACTTCAATGAACTTTAAGGCATGTCCCTGTCCTTGGAAGATGTATTCCCCTAGAACGAAAGGCACTCTAGTCATGGTCGAGGCAGAGAATAAGTCTTCTTGCCCTTCTGTTTCCAAAAATATTTCCGTTGGAGGAAAGATGTTCTGCTCATGGTCACAGAAGATCATTTTTTCCCTCTCCTTTGGAAATACATGATCCTCGAAAGCCATATTGCACTTTTTCAGCTTAAGATGCCAGCAAGGTTTGAAAATTTGGCAGCCCATCTTACATTGCTTTAGTGCATTTGTGTAGTTCTTTTGTGTTCTTTTCATGCACTTTGGTTGTTCTTTAAAAACCAACGTGTGTAGTGTTATTGTGTAAAGCATGACTGATGGATAAAATGCAAAATCCACAGTAACTTAATAGTTACTAAACTGTTTTTACTTTGTCATACAACAGAATAAAGTGGGAGCAACTTGCATTAAACTCATTGTGATTTAATTCTGAGTAGTTGTGCATCTAACTATATGGTACATTTGTGTTTGCATGGTGCAAAAATATATAAACATAATTAAAGATAGCTGCACTAACAATACTTTATTAGGATGAATTAAAAGGATCCCAAATGGTAAGCAAGTTATGAGTTGCGCAGAACCTTTCTTCAGGGTGAATTCAGATGAAATGAAATCAATAGAAATGACTATTTCTTTGCATCCACCCTGAAGAATAAGTTTGGTGAAGGTTCTGCATGTCACTGCACCTTTTCAGTTGGTCCTCGCATGGTCCTGCTATGTTATTGGTAACAAAAATGATTTTTTAAAAGTTATGTTTACATGTCAGAAAGGAGCTATTCAAATACAGGGTGGAGAAGCAAACTGGTCAACTATTCCACTGCTGCTAAAGTCATAAAGAAATGAGAAAGCTTTGCAGTCCAACAGCACATCCCACCGGACTGAATTTCAGCAAAGCTGAAATATTTTCAGCAGCACCTGGGGGAGGCCCTCTGGGGGCCCAGGCAAATTGTGCTTAAAGAGTTGGACTAGGACTTGGGAGATTCAGGTAGCCACTCAGCTCCTTGGGAGTCTTTGGGCAGTCATAAAGTCTCAGCCAGACCTACCTGACAAGGTTGTTGTTGAGAGGATAATATGGGGAGAGGAAGAACTGTGTCAGCTGCCTTGCTAAAGGAAGGAAGCCAGTGTATAAACATAATAATAACAGTAATAATAGTTTATGGGGGGGAACCTTCCTTTTTAAAAATCTGTCCTGAATCTCCCATCATTCAGCTTCTGGGCATGCACAAGAGTGCTTTTTCTCTCAGGGGAACACTTTTTTCCAAAGGAAGAAAGGAACAAAAATCTTCAGCAACAGCAGGGTTTTTATGAAACGTCAGGTTGGCCTTTCTTTCTTGCTGCCTCCAATGTGCCAGCTTCCTCCCCAACTGGAACGATCTTTAGCGACCAAGCAAAAAAGCAAATGGAGCAAAAGAGAAGGAGAATAGGAAGCAATCTGGTACAGTCTGACACTTCACACAATGCATCTGTATTTCATGAGAAAGGACTGTTCCTTCCTGTTAGGACTGACAAAGGATCACGCTGTTTTCCTGAAACAGGTCAAAACAGATGTCTCAGGCTGTCAGCTTAGCCGTAGAAAATCAATCTTATGGAGCTTTGGCAAGCATCTGCTTGTCTTTCTGGGAGGTCACCCACCCACCCACCCACCCACCCGCACATTTTCACTGCAGTTTGCATCGTGCTTCCTACAATTCTTCACAGTTGTGCTAAAGAACAACTCCAAACAAAACAGCCCCACAGTTGTGCTAGAAGCGCTGCTTTCAAAGCAGCCCAATTTTATTTTCTTGCTTATTGCTGCTTTTATTTGACAGTCCGTGGCTGCGTTCTCAGCTACTGGTTCTGTTGCAGGAGCTACTGGAAGATGGGTAGATTTAGATCAGAAGCTATACCCTACTAATTCCTTTCGCCCCATTGATGGAAGGCAGCAGGAACAGAGATAAGTGGCTCATTTGCAGGAGAACTTAAAGATATTTCCTTTTTTGCAAAATTGAAACGATTAACAATTTCATGGAAAAATAGCAGGGCTTATTTTAATGGCCCGAGTTCAGTCCTGGTAGGTAGGTGGGTAGATAGGTAGATGTACGGCTTTAGGGAGGAAAATGGCTGTCTTGTCATTGCTGTTGAATCAGTGCACTTTTCAAGTGCTAGAAAGCTGGTCAGAGATCAACATTCTGTTCTCAGCACTGGCCAAGTGCCCCCTTTTAAAGAGGGCAGTTTTCTAGAGCAGCAGAGGAAAGGTTATAATGTCTGGGCCTGATTCACTCGGGGAAAAGACAAGCAAGGGGAGAAAGGTGGAGGTGTGTAAATGATGCGTGTAGAGAAAATGGGTAAGAGATGTTCTCTCTCTCCCATAATACTAGAACCTGGGGTCATCCCAAAAAACCACCTAGCACAAGTTGCCACTGTTTTGAGAACTTAAAAAAACAGCTAGACAAATTCACGGAGGCTCTAGTCCTGATGGTTCTATGCTGCCTCCACTATCAGAGGCAGTGGGACAGTGTACTCCAGGTGCTGGTGAGCATGGGTGTGTGGGTGCTGTTGAATTCATGTCCTGCTTGTGGATTTACTACAGGTAGCTTGTGGGCTACTGTTGGGAAATTCCAAATAAATCCTCAGATAAAACAATGTGCTTTTGTGTGTCCTCTAATAAAAAAATCTGGCAGCAGTTCCCTTATTCCTGTTCTCCACCCACAGGGCTTTTCCTTCCTCGTTTCCTTCTCCTGGAGGGGAGGAAAAACAGCCCCAAGTTATGCCAGTGATCCACCTGCTTTTCAGATAAGGCAAGCTCTTAGATGGCTGTGCTTCCTTTGCAATGTAAAAATACCTAGCCAGCTCATGCTTTGTTTTAAGGCAGTTCACACTTGGTCTTAAGGGATTCCGTATCTCTGATTGCAAAAACCTCAACATTTTAAACCTGTTAGATTCCTGTAACTTCTGATTGTTTTACTTCCTACTTGGATTCTTAACCCTGCTCCAATTAGAAATGCCAGAGGGGCACAGCGACATGCCATGATGGAAGTGAGGATGGATGGCAGAATGCTATACTAGGAACTGTATGGAAATATTTTACTTTCACATCAGCTAATGGATGCCTTTTTGAAGAAGTGGTGCTAGGTACCAAAAAATCTGGGGATCAGGCCCACGGGACAAATTTGCATATATCTGCACTTGCTAATTTACATCTGCTCTGTCTCTCCCTATGTCCACCTCAACCAGGAGGTGGTTGCGGCCCCATCGGTGCAGGTGTTCAAAGATAGGCTAGACATGCACATGGTGGGCATGTCGTGAGCGGAGCCGGCTGGAGCCAGGGGTCAGACTAGATGCCCCAGGAGGCCCCTTCTGACTCGCTCTGTTTCTCTGTTTAACAGACTCTGTGTCTTTGCCCTATTTGTAAAAAGGGAAATAAGGCCAGCAGGAGGAGGAAAGCTGATTTCATTCCCTTAAAAAATGCAGCAGAATGATTCAAGGGAGGCAACAGAAGATGAACGCAGGTAGGCAAAAATCCAGCCACCCAGGGTCCAATGCAACAGGTGCTGTCAGGATCTGTGTACGTTTCCTTTGGCAAGCAGCCATGTAGCGCAAGCTGGCAGGCCGACGCACCTGGCATCGCTTTTCCAGTTTTCCTCCAAACGAGATTCCGTAATTTAGCATTTCAGATCTGGGTCTAGCAGACTGGACTCAGTCGGTCGGCATCCTGGCAAACCACAGGACCACTTTAGTATACAAATCTATATACTTTATTATTATGTGAGTTCAGTTTGAGATTTTAGGCAGAACAGTCTTGCTGCCCTCTCCATCTAAGCTAGACTTGCATGAGGAAGAAGCTTTCTTCGAGGGCTCTTCTGTCGACTGGCTCGTTGGTTCCACTTCTGGCAAATAAGTCGTAGACTCCCTGGTGCTGCCAGGGACTTGGCTAGCTTTTCGCAAAGACTGCGATTGCTTGGGAGACAGAAT